AAAGAAGTATGGAATTAACTAAAAAAGCAAGATATATTTTATTTAAATTTTTTTTTTTTTTTTTTTCAAATATGAATATGATATAAGGTAACCTAACACATCAAAGGGGAACCTAGGAACAAGGCCGTGGGGAGCAGTCTGGATTAAATACGTATTTCTTTTTCCCAAAAGAGGCAGGCATGGTCAACATGCTTTTTGACTGGGTAGGCCTCGTGCTGAGGTAGTTTTTCCTGATGGGAGAATGATTTATTGGCAGTTCCAAGCCCACCATTATCCTCTTAGCAATGTTTAATGTAATAGCCGATCCATAATTTAACAATCACAAGAAAACAAGTGCCATTTCTTATGTTGTTTAAACTTCTCTCTATGAACACAGAAACCGTGGACCTCCCAAATAGCTTGGCATTGTATTACCTATACTGCTTCTTTTAATTGGTTACTGTTTAATTATGTGTGCTTAAAGGTTTAAAATATCTTTATGTAAGGTTTTGCTGCAAATTCCAGTTTGCCATAAGAAAAAAAATATTGCTTCCTTACAAAATGTAATTTTCAGTGAGATCCCACTGGAGAAGCCTTCAGTTTTGAGGTTTATTCTTCTGAAAGTTTTCTTTCAGTTTGAATTATCTGTATAGGGTGTTTTATGGGATTTGAGGAAATTCCAAAAACCCCTGAAACTCATGCTTAATTCAAACCATCTAACTATAGTGATAATTATTAGGAAAAGATTGACAAGAATCTGTGACTCATAAGTTTCCTGTAGTTTTTTTTCACACAGATTTTAAATCTCCAGCAGACACCTCCCAAGTGCTTTTGCCCAGTGAGCAGTATGTAAATTGCCAGCAGGCTGAGAAGGTTGAATTTGTGTCCTTGTTTCAAACTGGAATTTGCAGCTATTTCTGAGACTGGCTTCTTATATCCCAGCTTAAACACCCATTACAACACCAAAAATTTGGCATTTATACTTTTACGTTTAGGGTGAACCAGGGTTAAATGGTCTTAAAGGATTGAAGGGTGAACCAGGTCAAAAGGGTGACAGAGGGCCCCTTGGTCTTCCAGTAAGTAAAAAAAACCCCAACTATTCAATCTCAGTGCAAACTTCTCTTTCTGCTCCTGATGAACAACTCTGGTTTACTCAACAGCATACACAGAATATACCATTTTAGAGCAGAGCATCAGTCTTGTTTTGTTTTGCCCCGAATCTTGTGCTGTAATGTCCTGTAACACCCAGTGCTGTCAGGTTGTTGTTACGTGTCAGTTGGAAGTGTTCAGTGTCACAAGGATGCCATCGCCCCCATTTCATTAGTCATATTGTTATTTAAGTGTTGTGTGGTGTTTGCCTTGAAAAAGGAATCTTCCCTTTCCCCCCCGTCTTTTTGGTTATTCTTCCTGTTGGCACTTCTGCAGTTAAAATGGAGAGGTCTGACTGAGAAAAGTTAAAAATTGGTTTAGGGGATTTTATTGTATTTTTTTTCTCATTCATCAATGATGGTGGGTTGTTACCTTCACCTTGTTCTTTAGAAAATTTCCATTCTGAGTGTTTGGCATGAATTTTGTCTTAAAAAGAAATGAAGGACCTTAAAAATAAATTTTCATGTGGAACGCTGTGGTTCTTAAAATTAAGGTTGACAAAAGAGAAAATACTTTGTGTGCTTACTCTGTGTGTTTGAAAGGACTCTGAAAAGTTAGATTTATTTTTTCCTCACAAAAGAGTTCATTAGTTCTTTATTTCTTTCTCTTTTTTTCTTTAACATGAGGATTACTCCATGCGATTACATTGTTAATAGCAAAATGGAGGAAAAAGACGTAGTTGACCCAAAGGAAACCAAACTCCTCAGATTAATATTTTCCAGAATGATCAACGTCACTGACAGTTTTAACATATTTTGTAAAAAATTATCATTTTCAAGATGATAGTTACAGTTATGTAGAGAGGGAGCTTCGTAGGTCTGAGCCAACCTCCTTAAAATGGCTAAAAGAAGAAGAAAGTTTTGGTTCTGCAGTAAATGTTTATTCTAACCCAGAGCAAAATACGCCATTAGTTTTTAAGCTTTATCTAGATCTTGGCTTGCTTTTGCTTGCCACTTTTTCTAAATGTCATTTTAAGGTGCAAAGTCCAAGTATTTGACTTTGTAAAGATGGCTCATTTTCGCCTTTAATGAGGCTTTTTGCTTAATTTTCCTTTTTATTTTTTGGTATGGCGGGGGGGTTGGGGTTGGTTTGTTTGTTTTGTAGGGGGGAAGAGGGGAGTTGGCCCAGGTTATTCCCCGTGTCCCAGATAGTTTTAGTCCCCTCAGCCCCAGCCGCGGTGGGACCGATCTCTCGCTGCTGCTCTGTCATTCGCCTAAAATCCAGCAGAGGTCACGCCGTCCCCGAGGATGCCGAAGCAAACAGCCTGCGAGTGCCGGCTGCTTCCCACTTCCAGCCCCGGGCTCTGCTCTGAACTGGGAGTATATTGGGAAAACAGGAAATGGGATTGTCTCCCGGGCTCTTGGAAATGAATGAGGCCATTATAGTCAGGATCCAGATTTTGCTGGCTGCATAATGCACTATTCTTGCACTTAAGTACTTCCTATGGCGGTTAACGTACATTTTTCTTTCTTTGTGTAGTACAGTATTCAGTATTGTCATTATTTACAAACTAGAAAGCGTGCAAGTAAATTACAAAGCAAATATTTGCGTGTTAAGGCTCAAAAACAGCCTGACATCTGATGCTTGTAGCACTCCTATAGCCGGATATTATTCTGGTCTAATACACTGTGATGTGAAGGCAGGGGGGGGTCAGTGATGGGAGAAAAGAGAATCAGAGTCTTGATGTTTTCTGTGAATTTTTAACTAACACGCTGTAGTAACGTGATGCCCATTCCAGAACCCCCCTCACAACTTGTACTGTACGTTTGAATTGTGTTTATTCATCAGCACCACTTACTAATCTCCCGTTCTTGTCATTGGTGTGTTGTACCCATCATCCATGCTTCCACCTAACCACACAGGGAGCATCTGGCTTAGACGGGAAGCCAGGACCCCGGGTGAGTCCCTCGTCTTTCTGTCTCATTTCTTTGTGACCCAGTCTGTGTCTCCTCAGGAACTCCACCAGCCATGGTCCCACACGGCACGGAGGAAGGCCAAACGCCACAGACATTTCCCATCCTGTAGAAGATGGGGCTTCCAGCAAACTCTTAGGGCAATGCGTGGGGGAAGGAGAATGTAATTCTCAGTAGAAGGAGCATGTTTGGTTTTGATTTTTTTTTTTGGTTGGATAACTGCCTTG